GTCATAGGTTTCACAACATCTGCACAGATCCCAGTGTGACCTTTTTTTTCTGCAGAGGCGGGAATGTTTTTTTTTCTTTTTCTATACAGCTGAATCATTCAACCGAGTCCACAGCTTGTCCTAGCTGGTAGTACGGTTCGGATGTGTTCAGCCATGACCTAAATTAGGCCTAAACTCGACCATGGTTAAGCTAGGGTCCATCAGAGTGCAACATCATGCACCGGGTGCAGATAGGTCTCTTGCACTGTATACCCATTAGACCTGAAGCCAGGGAAATTGTGTCATTTTACATCTCGTCACTGCTCTGCTATTTTTTTTTAAATTGCGTTGGCGCACTCTTGCTCATTAAAATCGCATTCGATTTTTAGTTCTAATGTCCCGTTTTAGCAAAGAAAAAGATCCCTTTTCACAGCTTCAGGCGTATAGAGCATATATGGCTAGACCTATACTTGTACAGACCAATCGGCACAAGATGGGTGATGTACACGCTTGCAACACGGAATACTAACAAACGGCAACATATGTAAAGAACACTGAACAAAAATACGCACACCGCAGACGCTTGTATATATAAAACTCACAATACAGTTTGCACACAGATTGTATACAGACTATTTTATATACACACACACATAAAAACTTATGAAGAAAAAAAAAAAGATAAGTGATGTAGTCAACTTTCACGCACAGCATCCGGTAACCACTCAAGGCTAGGTCGACCTGGGAGAATGCCCAGTTTAAGCAATGCTCAAACAATGTCTGCCAGGAACCAGAATCTGCTTACCTGGCAGCTCAGCAACCTGTTAGCACCCCTTCTTCGCCGCTCTTCTCCACATTTTCCACGAATGACTGACTGAATGATTGACTGACCCAATGACCGACAGACTGTCTGTCTGTCAGACTAACTGACTGACTGACCCACCGACTGACTTAATGACTGACTGAATGACTGAATGAATGACTGACTGAATGATTTATTAGCTGACTGATGACTTACTGTCTGATTGATTTGTTGACTGAATGTATACTGGCTGCTTTACTGCCTGACTGATTGACTGACTGATTGAACAATTGGCTAACTGACTGAATGACAAACTGACTGATTGACTGACTGAATAAATGAATGACTGACTTAATGACTCACTGACTTATTGACTGACTGGTTGATATACTGACTTAAAGTTTGACTGACTGATTGCCAGACTGACTGATTGACTCGCTGACTGACTGACCAATGAACGAATGGTTGATTGACTGAATGACAAACTACTGATTGACTAACTGAATAAATATGTGACTGATTGACTGACTGAATAAATAAATGACTGCTTGACTGACTGACGTTCATGACCACTAGGACCGCACGACAAGCTACAAACACCCGGTGACACAAATTACCATCATTCGGATGAGAATCACCCTGACGCGAGTTCCAAAAACCCCCTTCAACCCGTAGTTTATAATTAGCGACAGCTGGTTGAGACTTTAACATGAGACACGCGAACTTTCCCCTGATCGATCTATGAAATTATTAAAATGGCCCCAACCTTATCTTTTTGAGAATTCGGGAAGTTAAGAATAGTAACACTACACCCCATGCAATTTCTCTAGAGCGACTCAGGGCATTGTTAGGGTTTGGTTCCTCTTCAAAACTTCTAAAACCATCACCATCATCATCTTTTGTGGGCCGTTAGATGTCACATAGGGCTCGCATTCAATTCCTCCACTTGGCTCTGTTGCATGCAACCCTCTCGATTTCTGACCGGGTGTTCCGCCCAGCATTTTTTTTTTGGGGGGGGGGGGGGGGGGTGGGGTAGGGTAGGGCCTCTCGTAATAATGTTTTTGTAGATGTCTCCTTTGGACAACTAACAGATAACACCCCTAGAATATTAGACTTTCCCGTCGATTGCGGGATTTCCTTTGTCTGGGATGTGTTAAAAGAAATTAACCCACATATTACAAAGTTATTTTTTACGCTTTCAAACAAGGCTTGGGCCCATTGAACCCTGCCTTTAGAACTTTATAAGTAGTCTGAGCGCCCCAAAGATTTCACGTTCTCTGCGAGTCTGCAGATGATGACGTTTGAACGGGTGACAGTGCCCATGTACCAGATAAAAAAAGATATAAAGTTATTATTAAAAACCTTTATAAAATAAGCTGTTATTTAAAACGCCTCCATGTTGAGTTCAGAAAAGGAAAAACATCGACATTCTGAACGAGTTGAACATCAAGGAGAACTGGCTCATAAACAGCATCCTGTCCGGAAAGTTAAAGTATTCTGGCCACATCAAGTGTCATGGTGGCTTGGACAAGACAGTGATGGAAGGTTCAGTTTGTGGAAGGCCTGGCAGGGTCAACCACCGCAAAGATGGATACAAGACATTGAAGATCCATTGGCATTGAAAGCATATGGGGCTGGAGAGCTGTCTTAAGAAAGGGATACTTTCAGGCGTGCCGTGAAGAGAGCGACGTTGTGTAAAGAACTTGCTAATTGATGATTTAAAACACACCACGTAATAAAAGCACAAAAAAAGAAGGAAAGTTATGATTTTATAGTTTAATGAAGACACGAGTGGAAATAATTATCTTTACACACTTAATGTACAATTTTTTTTTTAACAACTAATAAAAGCGGGGGGCCGTCCTTGAACTTAATATGTACATGAACATTTCATATGTAAATAACAACGGAATCAAATACAGATAAAGGTTTATGCTTTCAACAGTCAAGCACGGTATATTGTTATTTAAACGCCACACGCTTTAGGTTAATCTGCGTTATTAGAAAATAAGTGTAAAAATTAAATGCAATAATGTGACCAGGTATTTAAAAAAAAAAAAAAACAGGCAACAACATAGAAACAATACAGTTTTAGGCATGGTAGCGATAGCTTTCGAATTGTATGCTGTCTGTTATGTTCTATCTTTCTACTTGTTTATGTGAGTGCCTATCAAAACATGTCTTTTTGCTTATCTCTCTCTCTCTCTCTCTCTCTCTCTCTCTCTCTCTCTCTCTCTCTATGTATATATATATATATATATATATATATATATATATATATATATATATAGTATCAAGAAGCCATGAGTTCTTACCCTTAGGCTCGGTATTATGGATATCGCAACCTTTCGGCCTTGATTCCATTGTAAATATCATAAATCTGGGAGAAAATGTGGCTTTCCTGCCTACCCCCGGGATTGAGCCCGGACTACAAGGAGTTCGTCACCCGGTCTCCGCGCAATCCCATTTAGCCAACTACGCTAGAGAGCCGGGCATATATATATATATATATATATATATATATATATATATATATATATATATATATATATATATATATAAACAAGCAATTTAGGCACTGAGATAGCTATCACTTCTCTTGGCACATAGATGACAATGATTGTCTATCGAGGAAGACTAAATAACAATATTTTTATATTGCTGATTGCAATGTATCGGTGTCAAACATGAACCTTTGCTACAGCTAACGAGTGCCCAAAAAGCATAGCAGCAGTGATAAGATGTCTTTGAAAAAACGCATCAGTAATAAAATGGGATACGCCTGGAAATGCATAACTTAGCAGAAGATGACGACTGGAACCAAAGCAACAAAATGGTAAAGTTGAGATGATCGACTTCATTGAACTGGGTGTTATTTCATAGGGCTGAATGTCTTTCTGCTGAATAGCTGGCTGGTTCCGGGAGGGTTCGAAGAAGCACGAACACCGGAACTCCGGCGACGATCAAATCGCAAAAACAAATTTACTGAACCAAGCGACGGAGCCGTGAAACGATCGAAGGATCTTGAAAGCGTGATGCTTGCCGACTTTACCCACCCCACCTCCCACCCATTTTGTCGAAATCTATTATGGAGGTCATTAAAAGGTAGCAATAAAGAATGGTTTGGCCATCGGCTATCAGTTATAAGTAGTCATAGTCCTCATTAGGCGAAATAGATCAACCTGCCTTGTTCACTCCTTCTCCCACTGTCCTCCTCCTCGCCATCTCTACCCTTTACCATCATCACTTACCTAGACTCAGTCTAAGTGATGTGCTACTGACGATAACTCGACCATATGATTTGGAAGTAAAGCTTGGGGAAGAAAACCTGTAGTCTCTACGAGGGTAATATGAGACATGGCTAAGGTTTGCAGGACTCGAAAACGGCATAGACGTGCTTCACTAAGCTAAACCCCTCGGTCACGCAATCGTGAAATAGATCCACTTGTCTGTTTCACACCTTCTCCTACTTTCCTCCTCGTCATTTCTTCCCTTTGCCATACTCACATCCTTCATCACTCACAAGTACGTAGACTCAGTCTAGGTGACGTGCCACTAACGATAATCAGACCTTGTGATTTTGGAAACACAACTTGGTGAAAATACCTGTGCTCTCTCCGAGGTTAATATGAGACATGGCCAACGTTTGCAAGACAGGATCGCTGCACCGAAGGATTGCACATGCAGATAATGTTCAATGCGTTGTAGTGTCGATCGTGAAAGCATAACACAACAGAATGAACACAACTCACTTCACTTTAACTGGTATTGATATAGCATGGGGGAGGGGGTAGGGTTGCGTGAGTCGTCTTGAGGTATGGCGTCTGCCTCGAGTCATGAAGGTGCCTGGTTCAAGCCCCGGTGAAGGCTGAGATTTTTTCACATGGACATCTATTATTTTTCCTAGTCTCTAGATAGTAAGATCGGACTCCCGTGTGTATTGTCGCGCACGTAAAAAAATCCCTCGGCAGTTGGAAATAGAAAAAAAAAAAAATAGCCTAACTGTGATGTCTAGGTAAAAACTTGGGAGTTAAAAGTCTACCCACATTATTTCAGTATCCTTACCGGTGAAACGTTGTTCGAGGACTGCGCTGAAATTCCTCGGACTCAAGCTTGAGTTAGAAGTAGAACGGAACACTTATCGGTTACATCTGAAAACATTGAAATAACATATTTAAAAAAAAAAAAAAAAAAAAAAAAAAAAAATTAATTATTTCATTCAACACTGGAGATTTTTATCATTTATTTCCCTGTGAATCTTTACCATTTCCTCTTCAGAGTATCTGTGGCTGCATACCATGGTTCTAAATGAACAGCCAGATGCCACAAGCGTGTCCAGAGTAAAATATTTACTATGATAGACTGGGACATGGGCCTCTCTAGCACACATTCCAGTAATATAGATATCTTCAAGCCAAAATATCGTCACTCTCAGAGATGCTTCGTAAATAAGCGTGCCAGCTTCACTTGTCATCACGTACGCTAGGCCAGTAACGTAGCTTGGAAATAACAGTTCTCTATAGACAGAGAAGGGTGTGTACCATTTCGACGTGGGATTTCTTTTTGGGAACGAAATCGTATACTTATAACCAATAATAAATGCACTTGGAGGAGATGATTCGACTATGAATTCCTCCAATGATGACATCAAAAAAGGAATATTCATATAAACATCGTCATCTACCTTCAGAATATATTTAGTATTGGGGCAAAATAAGTTCACCCATCTTAGAATGGACACAGACTTCAAAGTCAGGTTTCTGTAACTGTCCAAGTAGTTTTCTTGAACTATATCACCAAAGGTTGAAGCCTCTTCCTGCAGTTTAGATTGTCTGACCAATCTACTTGCTGTATCCAGTTCTCCATTCTCCCATCCAATAAAAAACAACAAGACAGCTTTATTGTTGGGATCCTTGGCATAGCTGCCCCAAGTCTTTCTTATGACTGATCTACCAGAGTGGTTATCGCCGGTATTGATCACACAGATCACCAGTTCAACTTTCTGACCAGAACAATTCACTCTTGGTTGAATGACATACTCAAATGTATATGGATTGATAACCTCACGCGTAAAAAACGGATATTGTGATGTAAAGTTCGTAGGAAACTGTGATGTTTTGAAGAGGTAGAAGTGCCTTCCGTAGAGGACCAAGGTGAAACATGCAAACGTCAATAGGATGATCAGCTTTTGTATTCTCAACCTGGATACATTGCAGCAGCGAAGGACTGTATATCTGTACAAAAGAGAACAGTAGGTGAATAGTAGGTGGAAAAACCTACAAACGAGGAGCTGACTGAGATGATACAGAAGAAAGACTGCGACGAGGAACAAGAAGAAGTAATGTGTATCAAAAAGATTAGGAAGAAGAAGAAGGAGGAGAAGAAAAAGGAGGAGAATGAGGAGGAGAAGAAGAAGAAGAAAAACTAACGAACTTTATTTTCAAAAGGTCACAATTTTGGCACGAAGGCCCGTCTTTCAGTCGGCCCTTCCAATCAACCATATTTCGCACAGCAGTTGTATTTTACTAATAAAGCATGTTTTGGTCATATGATGTTATGCATATTATGAATATCATGAAAGAATACAAAAGCATGAGTTGTAAAGTGCATGCAAAAACCCGCGCGTGCATACATACACCCACATAAACAAGCTCACCCACTCACTTACACACATACATGAATGCATACATACATACGGACATACAGGCATACATACAGGCATGCACAGAGACACACACACGCACACACGGACACTCCCACAGACACACACGCAGACTCACACACTGACACACACACACACTCACGCAGTCAAAAATACAGACACACACACAGACAATCACACATATAAACACAGACAACAACAGACATACATACATACATGCTCACACACAGACATACAAATTGACACACACACAGACATACGCAGACCCTACACTCACGCAGACAAACATGCAGACAAATACATACAGCCACATAGTCGCACACGCAGTCAAACACACACAAAAATACAAACATAAAGACAACACATACGAACACACACACACAGAAACACATACGCAAACACACACACACACAGACAAACACATAGAAATACACACGCAGACAAACAAACGCAGACATACATAAACAGCAGACACAAACATATACTCTGACATGCAGAGACATACACACAACAAATAGGCACACACAAACACACAGAGACACAACACAGACACCCACTGACAAATACACACCAACACATACATTAGACACACGCGCTCACAATACACACAGAGACACACACAAACCGACCAACACACGCATACACATACACTCACGCAGACAAACATACAGACACCCACACACATTGACACATACATACAACCACATAGACACATGTGCAGACAAACACTCACAAACATACACAGGCAGACAAACACATACGGGGATACATATAGACACACACGCAGATATACACACATTCACATCAAACATGCAGACAAACACATACGGGGACACACATAGGCACACACGCAGACATGCACATCAAACATGCAGACAAACACCGGGACACACACATACACACATACACATCATAAATGCAGACAAACACCGAGACACACAAGCAGACATACGCATAGTAACATCAAACATGCAGACACTGAGACACACACGCAGACATATGCATAGTAACATCAAACATGCAGACACCGAGACACACACGCAGACATACACACAGTCACATCAAACATGAAAATAAACACTGAAACACACACGCAGAAATACACACATGTATATCAAGCATGCAGACAAACACCGAGACACACACGCAGACACACACACACATTGATTTTGATCTTCTGTTTCCCGCCGAATTTGATGCATGGTTTTACCCCCCCCCCCCCCCTCTGTCTATGAATATCATATCTAGCCTTGTCTGGTAATCCATTGAAAGCCAGCTTTTTTTTGGTCTTGTCTTTAATAAACGCCTTTAATTTTTTTTAACGCTTCATCGTTGAATTTTATCTCATTCTAATCATTCTCATCTTTAGTGAGATTTAAACCCCCCCCCCCCCCCCCCCCATAAAATAAACTTGTATTTAAGACGCAAAACACGACTATTGCACCTAAAAGAAAAACAATTAGCTTATTATTCAATGGAGCATGCATAACAAATGCGTGTTTTTAAGTAAAGTTGTTAGTTGCCGAGTCGAGACGATGTGTTATCTTTCATGTGACACCGCCTTGAAAGCATATTATAATGTATAAAGGAGCACTAGATGGACAGTCGTCCATTATCACCAAATTCATTGTCATCGTCATCTTGTATTCCATGTAAGATATTCATTTAATAGACTGCTGTAGCTAGTTTACTATTTTCGAAACGTAAATGCATATTATAGGGAAAGGGTTAAAGAAACCAGTACCTAGAACTGTAAAGAGATTGTTAAAATTCCCAGTTCCGAGAACGAAGAAGAAAGCAAGAAATTTGGGTTAAGAAACTGTAGTCAAAATTCATCCCACATTTTGCAACCATCGCTGTCTGCGTTTGTAGGAAAGGCATTACCAAACAAAATAAAATGGATAGTGCAATGTGCAATAGCATTAGGCGATTTACAAAAATCATTCGCTTGTATGCCATTTTACGTTTGCCTAATATAATGATTACCAAGAGAAGATGGAAATGGCTTGGCCATGTTATGAGAATGAATCCTGATATACCCGCCAAAACAGCTCTCAAATGGACACCAGAGGGAAAGAGAAAACAGGGGCGCCCAAAATATCATGGAGAGGAACAATGGAAAGTGACCTGAGTGCGGCATCTCTGACATAGAAAACTGCACTGAAGATTGCACAGGACAGAAAAGCATGAAAAGTCCTCTCTAAAGCCCTATGTGCCACTAGGCATAACGAGAACTGATGATGATGAATATAACACTACCTTTCTATGTTGCATATGACGTGTCTGATGTCGACCCCAGTGGTGTGCTGCTATATGACTTTGGAGGTCAGTTACATACTGTCATGTATACCAACAGAAAGCTCACACCAGCGGAGACCAGGTACAGCAACAGTGAACGGGAAGCTGCGACAATTTACTACGCTGTGTTCAAGCTTGCCCAATATCTGTATAGATACCGCTTCGAGAGGCAGCAGTTACGGGTTACAAGTCAGTTGGCATAGGCGAGGGCGCCACGGGTTGCCTCTGACGGTGGGAGACATCTTCGGATGTCACTGATCAACTATCGCCTGCTTCAAGCCGGTCAGACCCGAGCCAATAAGGTGTTGATGCGCCACAGCTTGTATGCTTCAATGGGTGTTTGGAGCTAGGACAAAATCCGAACTGCAGGCTGAAAACGAATGCACTATGCAATAAAAAGAAACATCATCATTGAGGAAGACTTTTCTTGACACGAGTGGGTCTCGCTTGTCACACTGGCCATCGCCATGGACTGTGAGTCTGATTCCTCTTCATAGCGAAATATAACACTATCGTCTGGAAAGAAGGAAAGGTGCCAATCATCAATCATCCAATCAATAGGGGGAGAGAGACAGGTGGATAGATAGATAGATAGATAGATAGATAGATAGATAGATAGATAGATAGATAGATAGATAGATAGATAGATAGATAGATAGATAGATAGATAGATAGATAGATAGATAGATAGATAGATAGATAGATAGATAGATAGATAGATAGATAGATAGATAGATAGATAGATAGATAGATAGATAGATAGATAGATAGATAGATAGATAGATAGATAGATAGATAGATAGATATAGATTGATAGATATAGATAGATAGATATAGATAGATAGATAGATATATATAGATAGATAGATATAGATAGATAGATAGATATATATAGATAGATAGATTGATAGATATAGATAGATAGATTGATAAATATAGATAGATAGATTGATAGATATAGAAAGATAGATTGATAGATAAAGATAGATAGATAGATAGATTGATAGATATAGATAGATAGATTGATAGATATAGATAGAAAGATTGATAGAAAAAGATAGATAGATTGATAGATATAGATAGATAGATTGATAGATATAGATAGATAGATTGATAGATATAGATATATAGATTGATAGATATAGATAGATAGATTGATAGATATAGATAGATATAGATAGATAGATAGATATAGATAGATCGACAGATATAGATAGATCGACAGATATAGATAGATCGACAGATATAGATAGATCGAT